ATAAAAATTCTGTATGAAAAAGACATAAAAATTCGAAGCAGAAGTTACTTTTTCAAGCAAAAAAAGAAGTTTTCGATTTTTTTCACATTGACGCACCAATCCTAAAAATCTGAAAAAATTCATGAACAATCCTTGCAACAATACGCATCTACCATAAAAATATAAATCTAGTCGTCTCAAGATTTCTATGTGAAAAAATTATTTTTAACACTTTTTTATTTTTCACGGCTACATTTTGCAAGCGAAAAATCTGAAAAAATTCTCAGACATCTCCAGCTACATTACGAACATGTCAGAATTTTCTCAGATTTTTCGCAAGGCGTTAAGTAAGGAAATACCTCAAAAAACTGATTTTTCGAATTTTCCCGATTACTTCCCCCCTGGTTGAGATATAGAGCTAAAAATTGGAGTGAATGTTTCTTTTTTAATATGCTATCGAATGGCGCAAACGGCGCTTCATTCGGCTCAAGGGCACATTTGACCCCCTTATCCAGCTAGACCAGGGCTTCTTAAACTATGGGTCGCGACCCCAAATGGGGTCGCGTAGCAAAATTTTGACGACTGTAATGGTAACTCGCAATCATAAATGGGGTCGTGAATGACAAAAGTTTAAGAAGCCCTGAGCTAGACCCTTTCATTCAATTTCCTTAATTAGAACGAAAGCTATTGCAATTTGAAATTAACAATTCCAATTCTGTCTTTTCAATTATGAATTTACCTCGACTTTATTTTCTCGTGGATCCTCGGAAACAAAGACCAGGCTGACCAGCATCGTAGTAAAGCCAGCAACAAAGAAACATATGGCAGCAGATGATAATAGTAGTTCCAACCATTTCCTGGAGTTAAGCTTGTGTCTGGATATAACTCTCCAAAAGCCACTTCTAAAAGTAGTTCCGCCTCCTCCTATCCCTTCACCTCCGCTGTCATACATGTAGCCCACTGTTGTCGGCTGATAAACAGCCCCACTGTCCGGCATTTCTCTTAAAATAATATCTGCTTCTTAACCTATTTCACAGAATTTGAATAAATACCGAGATCAGTTTGATTATTCACAAAATATTTGAATTATGAGAAAACTGTGTAGGGCCTTAATTGTAGGTAACATCAGTAGCTACAACTTTTGTTTGAAATATTTACACGATTAATAATTGACAAGTTATTAACAATAAACTGATACACAATGTTGAAATTTTATTACTAGGAAAGTAGCCTCATACTTTAGATTACTCAAGTTACAAGAAAATTATATAAGATCTTCCTCATAGGTGACAGTATTACCTAAATTTTATATTAACAACATGATGTCGTTATATTTGGAATAAACTTATACGAAAATGAGTTAAAAAAAAGAAGCGCTGTCTCTTAACCTGTTTCACTGAAATCATTAAGAATATCGTAACAAGTTTTCTAAGACAGGCCTTTGGTTAAAATAATTATTAATTATAAACGAATAGTTCCTAATATGAAATTCCTATTTTGTTCGATTGATGTTTATTGGAAAACTATGATTTGATAAGGAACGAAGGTGGAAGATAAAAGTATACTTACCGAGGAATGTAATGAAGTCAGCCCGTCGAAACTGAATTGTCATTCAACTTGTTTCTCTTATTAATTATATATTTTATTGAATTGCTTCACAGTAGACGTATATACGTTCGCAATGCGGAAAACTATGAAATTCGTGACACAGAAATAACACTAATACAAACGTGAAACACGGAACCCGTCGGACGACGCCATCTTATACCTGCATATACCTCGTACTACGTAACGCTATGTCGGACGATTTGTCAATTTTCATTGGCCACAGCTTTCCCGCCAATTTCGTACTCCGTGATGTTCAAGCAATTATTTATAAACATCGTTACCTGCTGAATGATTAATTATTTACGGAAAACGATCTAAATTTGTATAATAAATTCTAATTTAAACGATAATAATTATTTTCATGCGAGCTGGAGCTGAGTCCGCTCCGATTGGCTGGCCGGACGGAACGTGGTAATGGCCGTCGAGCGGTGCAAATGGCGGACAGTGACGACAGTCCTCGTTGATCCGCGTGCCCGTAACCGGAAAACCGGAATAGTTTTTACGAAAGATGTACCGTGGATCGTGAGAAACGTGTTCGAAGCGTCGTTTACAGGGAAGTAACGAGCGGTTTTAGCGTGTACGGGATTGAATCAGAGTAAGTGTGGTAAAAAAAGTGCGGGAAAAGATGACGCGCGGCAACCAGCTCGCCGCTTCGTTTCTCAATCGATAATACCATCCGCGGGTTTATTAGGTTAAAAGCGAGTGGCTCGCATCGAAATATGTGAGGGAGTCGCGGTTTGCCTTCGCGTTCCAAGGTAAACAGCCTGGCCGCGACGAAATTCATCTAACGATCTCCACGCTTCCGTTTATTAACAATTTTACGCACGAAATGCAATTAAATTCCGGTGGTCCCCGTCGCTGAGTTATCGGTTTCGATATTCCGCGACCGATTACCGCGGTATTATATGTTTTCCGCTTAAGAAATTCGCAATTCCGTGCGCCTAACCTGTAACCGCATAACACGCGGTTCGCCTTGTTACAGGTAAACAAAGAAACGACTGAATTTTCTATAAGAAGAATGCCTGCAGTGAGTATTTGTGATCCAGTGTCGGCGACTCTACGCCGTACACTGGACACTAGCCAGTCAAAGGGTCAGGATGAGCTGTCATCATCGCTAGTCACAAGTGCCTCTCGGATCCTGCAGTCTGAAGTTCAATACAAAGAGGTAAATGACTATCAGAGCGCGATATTGGATCAGTTGAAGGCCAAGTACACCGTGTTGAGCCTGCCAAACTCTGAGAACGATGAGAAGAAGGACGGCATTGCAAAGAAGAAGGGTCCGTGCTTGCCAGAGCCTGCGGTGACTCTGTTCTTGGCGAAGAAAGTCAGCCTCGGTTGGAAAGGCACGTTTCCTGTGGGCGCCGGCATGTTTAATGTCGGTAATACTTGCTATTTAAATAGTACGCTTCAAGCCCTGTTCCACGTGCCTGCGTTGGTCAATTGGCTCCTGTCCGACAGCCACCATAACTCGAAATGTGAACAGAATGGTAACGACGCTCAGTTTTTGGGGAAGGAATTCGGGTAGGAGATTTCGGCTTTATTTCATGACAGTATGATTATTTTAGATGGAGCAGGCGAGTGTCTTACGTGCGCTATGGCCAAGACTCTGCAGTTTAGTCATCAGAAGTCTGGATGCGCTATTAAACCTTTCTACATTTATAATAAACTAAAACGTAAGCAAATTCTAAACTATATTTGGAATTGTACGAATTCATGTTCACGGCCGATTTTCATCCTTTAGACACACATAACTTTCACTTTCCTCAAAGTTTTTCTTAAGTTCATTGTACGAATCCCTCTTTGCGGTCGATTTTGATCCTTTCATTGCGACTGATTAATATTCCCACGTTTCTGTTTCCGTTCTCTCTTTGATCTTGCCTCGAATAATTATTTCCCCTTCAGTAATTTGTAGGACAATGGTGCCGGGCCAGCAAGAGGACGCCCATGAGTTCCTCCGATACCTCCTCGATGGCATGAAGAAAGCCTACCTCACCCGGCACAAGGCTAACAAGCTCGACAACTACTCCAAAGAAACGACGCCGATCAACCAAATATTCGGCGGCTACGTCCGCACCGAAGTCAAGTGCCTCCAATGTCGTCACGTCTCGACAACGTTCCAACACTTCCAGGACTTGCTCGTGGACATAAGAAAGGCAACTACTCTAGACGAGGCCCTCGCAACCTATTTCAGTCGCGAGCAATTAGAAAACAACGACTACAAATGCGAAGCATGTAAACGTCGAGTGCCGGCAACGAAGCAGTTCAGCGTCGAACGAGCGCCAAAGGTCCTCTGCGTCCAACTAAAACGATTCAATGTGCTCGGTGGAAAAATCTCGAAACATATTAGCTTTAAGCAGACCATTGACATGGGGCCGTACCTTTGGAGAGAGCCCGGCGAGCCTCAGCAGTCCCTTACTTACAAACTGACTTCGATGGTCACTCACATGGGCCCCTCAGTTAACTGCGGGCATTACACTGCCGTGGCCAAGGTCTCCACTGGCCAATATTACTCTTTCGACGATTCCTGCGTTAGGCCGGTCAGCTTGAGCAATGTTCTAAGTACAAACGCTTACATCATGATCTTCGAGATGGAACCGAGTAATTTGAAGGTGAACGGCAGCATCAGTTCTCCGACTATTTCTCCAGTTTCCCAATTGAACAAATCGACTGTAGGAACGCCGAAAGCTTCTACTTCAGGCTCGGCCGTATTGAATGGCTCCGTAAACGGCTTGACGAGCAAAGAGGAGGATGTTGAGAAGAATTCTAGTAACGGGGTTCAAGTGAAGGGTTCCGGTTTCATTGGACCTCAGTTGCCGCAGAAGATGATGGAGAAACAGCCGAGGTTGATCATGCATATTAAGAACGGCAGGATTTTGAACGGGAATTGTCTTGTGCCGTACGATGGTTCGAGCGAGGAGGAAGAGAATTTGACTAGCTCCAACGGTTCAGTAAAGAGTATGGTTCCTGTGAACGTACCTAATAGTAAGAGTTCGCCCGTTAAGAAAGAGAATCCTCTGGCGAAACCTGTGAACAGTACGAAGGAGGCGCAAAAATCGTTGACGAAAATTAATGGGAACGAGATAGTAGGCAAGGTGCAGAAGAATGGGGCTAGTTATGCAGTTGTCAAGTACCAGAATGAGAAAGCAGAGGCGAACGGTGGAACTGTGAAGAGTAGTAAATGGCATCAGACTGTTCGGGGGTGTAAGGACGAGGAGAAAGTTGCTACCAAGGCGAGTAGCATTAAGGGGTGGCAGGTGTCGAAGGATACCAGTTTCGGATCGGCAACTTCGCTCACTGCGCCCAACGGATGGTCCGTTACTGACAAGTTAGTTTTAAATTCTTGAATCGGTAAATGTCCCGATGTATGTTCTGCACTATTTTAACTACAGTCACTGAATCGACAAAGTTATATTTATTAAATATGGAGTACACTGAGACAAAAACCTTCTGGAGGTTTTCCATAAGTTTAATTTAATCCCCTTCATTTGAGCAAAAGGTATTACAATTTAAAATGATAAACTTGAATTAGAATAGAAATTATTTTTAGGTCAAACGTATTTTTGTTAAGAATTATAATAATATTACAGGTAGCTTTATAACGCTTGTCGCCTATTCCCACTGCGTTTTCCGCTCAGTACCGGCGAACGAAATTGGGGTACCCGAGAATGGAAATACGGAAAGTCAGTACCGTAGTTAAGGGAAATCGAGGTATAGGGAAAAGTGTGTAAAAGAAAAAATGTGTGGGTGACATTCAGCGGGCCCGATCTATTGTGCTCGAGTCAGACCCTTGCTGGGCCTCAGCAGCGGCAAATAAAGCGAGAGGGGAAAAGAAACCGCAGAAAACGGGAAAGAGACCAGGCAAAGCGGCAAAGCTCTCGATCTCGAGGTTTTCCGCTCTCTGCGGTTTCTCTTCCCCTTTCGCTTTATTTGCCGCTGCCGAGGCCTAGCAGAGGTCTGATTCGAGCACAACAGACCGGACCCGCTGAATGTCACCTACACATTTTTTCTTTTACACGCTTTTCCCTATACCTCGATTTCCCTTAATTACGGTACTGGCTTTCCGTATTTCCGCTCTCACAATCAGGTATCCCAATTTCGCTCGCCGGCACTGAGCGGAAAACGCAGTGGGAATAGGCCATTAGACGGGACCTTCCTGGAGGTTTCTCTCAAGGTTCATCAGATTACCTTGATTAGAACGAAAATTATTACAATTGAAATCGAATCACTGCCTAAAATTATTCCCACTAATAGTCGAACACTCTGTATATCTGAAGTCTTAATTAAAATAATTAATACTCAAAACTAATTTTTGTTTCAGGGAAGATAATAAATTACCGCAAGGCACGAGCACCAGTACGACGACCAGCACCAGTACCGGTGCGACTATCGATGTGAATATAAATTCTAATACTACAACAACAACAACACCTAGCGCAGCGGCTGTGAGGAACTTCAATGGGACTAACCAGTCGGACACCGTCTCGCACTTGCTCAGGATGTCCCTTAGACGATACGGGAACAGCGGTCAGTATATCAAACGAATTACACCAAAAAATGTTAATATAATCCCCGGGAGAAATAAAATTAATCCAGTAGCGATTGAAAATCGTATTCCCGCTGATAAAAATAAGAATCCAGCTTCTATTCAAGTCAGACTTCAAGACGAACGGTTGAAATTAAATTGTAAGAAACCCGGTACTATTTCTAATGCGATTTCGAAGAGTCTCGGCTCGAATCACAAGTACAGACCCTCGAATACTGAGAATTCTAGTTCAATCCCGAAGAATTCTGACTCGAATCCGAGGTACAGAGCCTCGAATCGTGCGAATTCTAATTCAGTCCCGAAGAATTCTGACACGAATCCCAAGTACAGAGCCTCGAATCATGACAGTTCTAATGCGATCCCGAAGAATTCTGTCTCGAATCCAAAATACAGAAGGTCGAAATCTAAGCCCAGCAATATTAAGAGCTCGAAAGCTAAGCCTGTTCACAATCTCAAATTGAGTTCTGTTAATAAAATGGAAGTGAAAGGAGTTGGTAACCGTTTAATGGAATCGAAGATTGATCAGAGTTCTAAAGGTCCTGTTAGAAACAAATCGGATAGGGAAGCTGGAAAAAGAGAATCGAAGAAGGAAAAGATCGTTAAGTAGGATTCAGAGATTTTAATCATTTTCGTAAACGTCTTTAGAGAAAATAATTGTACGAATTAATGTGAACCGTTCCATGAAGGATTTTACTCTTTCGGAGTTGATTTAAACAAAATTCCTAGAGAAGACAAAAGATAGTAGGGGCTCCAACCTTCAATTTAATCCGTAAGACGGAATAAATCCATTAATTATTAAAAAAACTTATCGACAAAATTAAACTGATTCACCCGATTTCTCTTATGTTCTTTGAGTTATGTTCGATCTTTAAAATTTTAACCGTGCAATATTGTATACCCGTAATGTTTAAGATTTTGTAAATAAACTGCCTTTGTCCAATTGTATCGCGTTCACATTAATTCGTACGGATTCGCACGATTAGTTCTATATTTCGACAATTTTTTACTGTACTGCTTGAGTTTTTTTTGTTTATATCAATGAACCCGTGAAGATCTTAATGAGACTTTAGAAACACTTAGATAGAATTCTTCAAGAAGGTTTCTCCTAAGTTTATTCAATTCGCTTCATTAGAGTACAGGTCATTACAATTTGAAGTAATAATTTTGAATTAGAACAGAAATCGTTTTTATGTCAAAAGTATTTTTATTAACAACTGTAATAATATTAAAAGTGGCTTTATGAAACTCGGAGAACGCTTGGATAGGATCTTGAAGGTTTCCCTCAAGTTTCATTCAATACCCGTCATTAGAACGAAGGATATTGCAATTTGAAGCAAATATTGAATTAAAAATTAAACCTTGAATAACTGTTTTACTGTTCGTCCTTTTAACTGCAGCTACCGAACCAATAAACATATCTTGATGAAATCTTAGGGGTGCTCAGATAGGGCCAAATCCCTTCATCCAAACGAATATTTCAACACTTTATATCCGATCCCAAATTACATTAATCAACTACCGCTTATCTTACAGTGGTAAACTGGAACGGCAACAGGACATTGATAGACCGGGAAGTAGATGCCGATCGTCGAGAGGAACGGAAAAGACACTCGAACGCGGATGACGACGATCTCGACCGCGGTCGAGTTAAGAAGCTAAAGACTCATCGATCCTACGACGACAGGAGTTCGTCAAGTTACAGTAATCCTTTCCAAGAGTACCAGGAGGGTAAAACGTGGAACAGCCACCGCGCGCCTACCCCTCGCTACTACGATAGAGGCCTTAGACATTATTACAACACCTCGGGACACGTCAGGCAGTGGGCGTTGTTACAGAACCTCAGGACTCGACAGAGACACCCCAGAAATTACAGACCCCAGCATTATAGATACCATTCGCGAGCTCACTGGCAACGGGGATAAACGCGGTAGAGCGCAGGGGACAGAAACAAATCAGAGAAGATTTCTCGTTGAGAACTAAAATCCAGCTCGTTGTCGATGCTTAAAGGAGATAGGAAATAGTTAAACGAGAGAAGATTCGGAGGAAGCTGAAGTCTGGGGAAGAGGAATTTGACTGGAATGGACGGAGGGAGCCGAGTAATGAGGAGTTTGACTCTTGATCGAAGCTTTTTGATAGAAGATCGTTGAGGAACGAAAGAAACTTTACCAGAGGATCTTCGACTACTGAGGATCGAGCAATATATTCTATGAGGATCGAGGAAATTACGCAGTGATAGGACGTTTACTTAGGATTAAACGAAAGATAGGAGTGAAAACGAACGCGGCGCAACGTTGAAATTCTGAACCCTCGTAGTCTTTTATATATATATATAAATACACACACAACTTAGTTGGAGAATATTGGAATGAAGATCGACTACTGTTTTTTATTTATCGAGTTTCAGACGTTGCTAGCGTTCGCAGAATTAGATATAGTAATATTAATTATTATTCCATTTGATGAAATATTATAAATAATTAATTTTGACACGGTTCTTCGTGTTTCTTTTTTCCATTTTCTTTTGATTCGTCGATCGATTTGCTTGCAGACGGTTTTCGTTTTAGAGAGAATTATTATAGTCTGGATTGTAAGGCAAAGTAATTCTATATTATAGAAACCAGGGAACTTTTATTGGAAGGCATTAGATGATCTGTGTTGTGAGATAGATAGGAGGTCTCCCTATGGTGGAAGGAGAACATAGATGTACAGTTGCGCGTACTAAAAGAAATCGTGAATATATCTTAATAAAACTTGGAAGACTCTTAGATAGGACCTTCCTGCAGGTCTCTCCCTAGTTTCATTAAATCTCGTCGATTATAACAAAAATTATTGCAATTTGAAGCGTATTCGTTGTCCTTTCACCATAGGCGAAGCTGTCCGTTCCGGATTGATCGGAGGGCAGCGAGTCTATGTTATAAGACAGATCGTTGTATATCGTAAGGAAGAATTGTAAGAGATGACGAAACGATTGGCGAATGAAGATGAGAAAACTTGTTCGGTGTCTATGAGTTCTTCATTCTTTCCATTTTTCTATTTTAGTTCTTACTTTGAAAACGATGAGAGGTGTATAAAAAAATGATCAGGGTCATCGTGTTTAAGATTTGCACTCTTGATTTAATAAATATCGAACTCTGTAAATAAGTATGAAATTTCAATAGATGAAAATTAAGTTCGGAGCCAATTTTATATGCTTAATATAGACGAGAAAAATTGCTTTAATTGTTGATTACTTTGTTATCAATCAATGCAATCGATACAATCGTGGCTTACGTTAAAGTTTTATATCACTATTTCAATTTGATTCGTCTAACGAACGTTAAAGCAGCTTGGAGGAGCCTCTACATTAATTCAAATTTAATCAAACAAATTTAGCAAAATTAACTCCTAAGCGACGAAGATGAAGTTTAAGATAGACCTTGGAAAATTCTAAAAAAAATTTATTCTACCCATTAAAAACAAAATAATTTACATATTTCTTGAGTTATTATCATGTTTGGTAATCTGCTGTTGTAGCCTAGATATCCTGTCTTCTAATACCTCTATCAGTTTATCCCTCTCGGAGAGATCGTTCTTTAAACGGGCTATGATTGTATCCTTATCTTCGTTCAGGTCCAATAATAATTGATTCGTGGTAGGTCTCTTCTTTGGATCTATTTGAACCAATTGGCTGACCACGTGTGCCTGTAACAAGGTTTCAAATAATCAGTTCACTGTTTAATTCAAATGACCACCGATTAACATTTAATCAATCATTTTTTAATTGTATTAATTACACCCGTGAAGATATCTTAATGAAACTTTAGAGACACTTAAATAGAATCTTCCTAAAGATCTCCCCCCCCAAGTTTCGTTCGATTCCCTTAATTGAAACCAAAGTTATTACAATTTGAAGCGAATGGAGTTTATTAAAGTTTGGATAACTGTTTTACTGTTCGTTCTTTTAACTGCGGTTACTAAGCTGATAAAGATATCTTTACGAAAGGGTCTAGCCCAGGCATGGCCAAAGTTGTCGCCGCGCGACACGACCTTGCCCGGGAGCCGGAGTGGGGCACGCAGTCCGAACGGTTAATAGTGTGTATGATGCACGCACGTAACATACTAAAATAATGTGAGGGCTTCCTGGGCCTACTGCACGAAGTAGGGAGAACAGCTACAGTGGGGCACGTGTACTTGGCCATGCCTGGTCTAGCCGAATAAAATGGCAAAATGTGCCCTTGAACGAAATTCAACTTGCAATGAGCCATTCAATAGAGTGTCCAAAGAAAACATTTCATGCCAATTTTTAACCCTCTATCTGAATTCGGAGGGTAGTTATGGGGGCTAAACAGTTTTAGCGTTTTTGACATTTTGCCAGCATATCCGGCTAGACCCTCTGGAGAGCACTTAGATACGACTCCTGAAAGTTCCTCCTAAGTTTCATTCGATTCCCTTAATAATCATCGATCATCTTGAAAGAATTTTGTTTCACTTACCCATCTGGGATAAGTAGCAGCCAAAGCAGTCGGCAACTGCCCCCTCTTCAATCCGTTGATTATTTCAATCCTCTCCATCCGAGTTTTTGTCTGTACCAACAGTTCCAGGAGGACTATTCCCAAACTGTACACGTCGCTCTAAAAGCACGAATTAAATCGTACAAATTAAGAAGATAGGAAAGAAGCAAGCTCAGTATGTACCTTGGGATCGCATTTCCCTTGGAGTTGCTCGGGCGCCGCATACATGTGCGTACCGAACACAGAACCGTGGTTCTCCCTACGCAGGGGACACGCCAGTCCGAAGTCTCCTAATTGTATTTGCAACTGACCAGCAGTCGATATAAATATATTACTGGGCTGAAATAAACCATAATGCTCGTCGAAGGATTCCGTAAAATCGCGAGGAAAACTGAGGAATTGAAGTAGAGGGTTTGAGCTTCGATTTGACCCGTACGGTGAACTGAATCTCAGGGATACAAGCAATCGAATTAATTTTACCTTAATATCGTGATGTACGATGTCACGGGAATGTATATAATCCAACCCGGAGATGATCTGCGTCCATATAGCGACGATCATCGCCTGCGGCGTGGTTCCTACCCTCTCGTCCATCCATCGTTGCAGCGTTTTCTCGCACAGGGCCATTTGAATGTACAACGTCGTGTACCTCTTGTTCTGAGAAGAGGAACAGAACGAGTCAGAGTCGGTTGTTAGTCAGAGGAAAGAGAGGAATAGCCAGTGTTGTATACACACCGTTTGTGAAACGTACGGCAGGAGCATTTTATCGTTGCTACGCTCCTCATAGGAAACACTGGTCTTCGTTTTGTCCTCTCCATACCCATTGCCTTCTTCGCTACGGAACGATATACTGTTTGAATGATCCGTACTGTTTCTCCCGCCGGCCGACCCGTTCGACCCGGAGTTCCCCTTAGAGTTCCCTTTAGAGTTCGTCGCATCGCTGTTCTCCGTCGAACTCTCCTTTCCTTTACTCGCCGACCCGTTCGATTCGGAAGACTGTTCAGGCGATATCAAACGGAAGCTCGTAGAGGGGAGGGTCGGCTCGATCCATGCTCCTTTGTATGGCACTATATTAGCGTGATTCAATCTGGCGAGAGTCTTCACTTCGTCCAACCGTTCCACTATGCTCTTCACCCGATCGGAGCGTACTATTATCTTCTTGATGGCGTATTCGATACCGTCGAGGCGGTGCAGAGCCTTAAACACGTTTCCGAACCCTCCGGACGCGATTAAGCTGATCTCCTCGAACTCTTTGTTATACCGCGACCGTTCCGTTATTAATAATGGGCTGAGCGAGGGGTAATTATGAATAGAGGTATTAGAAGATAGAATGAATTATAAGTAGAGAGCAGAGTATTGATTTAGAATGATTACTTGGGTATTCCTCGCACAGAGGCATGAGAGAATTAATTTACAATTGTTTACCTGGGTATTCTTCTTAAGATACTGTTATCGCAACCGGTTGCAGCGCGTGCGACGGCGAATAGCTGGTACAAAGCTTGGCGATATTGGTTTCTCATCGGCTCGAACTCTATCATACTGTAGGAATTGTCGATCAGCTTCAATTCGTACAATTTCTCACATATTGCTGGAATGGTAATGCTGGTATTAATATTAATTTTTGATTAATTTTACTATTAGTCGGCCGATTTACTTTGTTCGCGGTTCAACACAAAGCTTGAATTCTCTAGTTTCTATCATCTTGTTTTCCAAATTTTGCATAAATCGACTCCTAAGTGACAAAAATCGTGAATAAATAAAGATATGTTTGAATCTAAAGACTGAATTCTAATATTCTCTCTATTATCAAATTTCAATCGTTGGTAACTTTGTTAATAATGAACAGATTTACTTTGTTCGCAGATCAAATCAAAGCTTGAACTCTCTACTTAAAATGGATTGTTACCAAAGTACAGTTTGTTTCTGTGCGTCGCATCGGCTTCAAACATCAGGCATAGCTGCTGTATCAAAGAACCAATTAACAGGCTAGTAGAAGCTGAATAAGTGTTCACTACATGTCGATGGTTTTGATTACTGGTTCCATTACCCAAACGTGCTGTTGGTCTTATGTCATTACCTACCAAGAATTATCAATGGTTTGAGTCTGATTAACGATGGTAGGGAATATTTACATAGGAGTGAGGATTGTTTTAATGAATAAATTAAACATTTTCATTTTGAAGATGTTTAGGTTTAGGAACAGTAATTTCTACCAAAGGATCCTACATCTCTTAGAGGATTTTAGGTCTCACCTCCGTCGAAGCTGGTCGCAGTCGGCAACGACTCCCATGGATTGCTCAACGATTCCTCATTATTCTCCATCGTTTAATTCGCATTTTACGCGTTTTTTAATATCTCCCTTACATTTGACAGTAGGAATAAATATCGCGTTAGGAGGAGGTTACATTTATATTTTGTTTATTAGTTCCACCAGGGATGGGATCAGAGGGCGCTGCACTTGCAGTGGTTCGAATTCTAAGATGTCTGCCGTTTCCGTTCTGCCAGTTTGACGCGCAAGGGCGCCCGGCGCAGTGCTTCCCGTGTTCGATCCATTATGTAGGAATTTGAAAAAACAATAAAAACTGAATAATATTATTGAAAAGTGAATTCCGTTCGGACCGAGGTGGCCAGGAAATAGAAAGATTAATCTCTAAGACACGTGAGATCAGTTACTTAAAGTAAGTGTACCGCGACGAAGTGTAACAAGTTTTATCAATTTATTTAACGATCGTGGATCGAGGAGAATTATAATACATCTTTTATACAGCTGTTTTGATAAACGAGTTGGCTCGATTCATCTATGAGGCGGCTTCTTTGCAGTTTTCTTCCGTTTCTTCTTGTAACACTTGAAACAGGCTGGCGTCGGCTGCGGTTCTTCCACCACCGGCTCCGCCGCCCCCAGCGTTAAAGTATTTTGCGTGGCCGTGTGCACCATTTCGTAGGACGGTGCCCGTTTCCGTTTAATTCTCCTCGGTCTACGGATTAAGTAGCTCCTGGCCACGTCCTCAGTCTCGTCTATCAATTTACTGGAAAAATTCAAATTTCACACGGGAAACTTAGCTCGGTAGTTGCTTACTTTTTCTTCTTCTTTCCTCGGATTTTTGATAGAACTTTTGTTAGCCTGTTTCGTATTATTAGGGTGCAGCAACAGGTGAGCAGGACCGTGGAAGCTAGGACTATACCGGCGGTTTTCAATGTCACTTTTAACGTCGTGCCTCCTGTGGAGGATAGTTCGGTTCAGAGTCGATTTAGATCAATTAAAGTAGAGAGTTTTAGCTTGACTTTAACCCATGAACGAAGTACGTCTGTCTATTATTGACGAAATTATTACCGATTGAAGTTGAACAATATTTTTCATTCAGATACAAAAATAACGGAGCATGATAGGCTTCGAAATTGATTTTCACTCGTTAATAGTGGATTTAGGGAAAATTGCGAGACTGTTGAATTCGAAGTAAAGACCTCAAGTTTTGAATTAAGCCATGATTGAACTAAATCCGATCATTATTGACAAAGTTATAAGCAATAGAATTTCGAACATATTTTTCGTTACGATTTTCCGAACTGGTCAAGTTCCCAGTCAATTTAGATAAAACTGTTATTTCTGTCATCGTCATCATTCTTCTATTACCGTTTCTCTTATTCCAATCGTAAATTATGTTATTAATTTACCACCGATCTTCTTAATTGCATCGCTGGGAAACTGATTGTTTTCCTCCTTCGATTTCGCAGACGCCGTTGCCGCCGTCGTAGGTTCGGCCTCGTAATCTCTGGACGTGTTCACAACAATTAAACTCCTAACGAAGTACAGAAAATGTGCAAGCTAACGGAAGAAGAAGAATATCTAACACCGACTCCGACTCATCGGCTTGGCGAACCACCAAAGGTTTCCTGCCGTCCCTCAAGTCCTGCAAGCATTCGATCAAATCCGGCCTGCCGATACGTTCGAGGAGATCGTTCAAGATCGGATAAGTGTTCCTGGTGACGGTGCGCAACTGGCAGACCCATTTCACCAATCGGCGGAAGCACGTTTGCTCCCTGGCCAACGAATTCACCTCATCTTCCGACGGTTCACCTGTAAACAACTTTGCCGCAGTCTAAAGACTTCGAGGAGTATGATTTCTGTTACGAGACCAGGAAGTACAAAAGAAAATGCTCAAGTACAACAATTTTCGGATGTAAAAGGTATTGAAATTCTATTACTGACGAGGTAGTTTCATACTTTTAATGATTGTTTCTGAAGTATTCAAGTTAGGAGAAAATTGTATAGGACCTTATTTGTAGAGAAGAGTCGAAGCTACAATTTTTGTTTGAAATATTTTTTTGAAATGTCAATAATTAACGAGTTATTCTGCTATATACTGAGGTATACCTTGAGATCATTGTACATAAATATTAATATGACCGGAATGTATCATTTCAGAAAAGAAACGTTCTCTTCGCTCTGCCTCCTCTGATTAAATCTTGAAAGAGTTGATCAAGACTCTTTCTAAATACTCACGATCGGAATTTAAAAGCACGAGCTTGGCGCACTCTTCGGGCTTCAAATTCGACGCCAACAGGTGCAGTTCCGGCACGTCGACTTCGGTGAACATCTTCTTGAATCAGAGGTACAGTTTTATTATTTTAATCAATCAATCAAGTTATCAAAGGCCAGTAGCCCGATATAAACATTAATTGTTGACTCGACATCACAGATGTACCTGGGAAAGGGACGGTGTGAGGTAGAAGAATATAAGGACCGATGCATCTTTGAAAACGTTCGGGTACATCGATCGAATGAACGGTTCGAATCCGAAATCAAACCTCCTCTACAAATCAAATGGGAAGAAATTGGATAGAAATATAAGGTACGTAATGAAACAACAGTTACCTCACAGATTTCCGTTCAATACTACTGGTATGTTATTCTATTTAATATGCTGGCTTTTATTCCGTTCCATATTTAATTTTAAATTCTATTTAATAGTCTGCTTTTTATTCCATTTAACATATCATTTTTAATTCTATTTAATATTTTGCCTTTTATTCCATTTAACATTTCATGTTCAATTCTATTTAATATATTTTATGTATCATTCCATTTAATTTCCTAATATTGTCGTAATAAAGTGTATATTGTCTAGAAGTCTGTGGCAATCTTAATATAAATAAAGGTGAACCTACGGCTCGTTCGAACGTTGAAACGTGAAACTGAAGGTAATTAGAGATTCTTTGAAATTGTTTCCACCATCGATGGGGTTCCGATTCAGGATTGAAGCCGATACAAAAATGTGATCTTAACGGGTTATCAAACGGCACTGGTAATAAATTGTATTTCTGGGACGCGTTGAAATTGTAAATACGATCGACGTGAAAGGAGACATGTTCGCGTTGCAGTTAATTAGACAATATCAGAGGTAAGAAAAGTGTATATAGGTAGCGTACAGTTTTTGTGAGATTCAATGCGAATTTCTTTTAAATCACTTCGTAAGAGTTGCTTTAGCTAAAATTGCAAGACAAATTGAATTAAAGCAGAGAGCAGAAGCCCTAACCCTTTCGCGTCGGCAGTCCAGTCCGCCAAAGTGCCGTCACCGAACGGAATTTCCGTGGATGACCGTGTAGATGCCGGATATATCCGGCGCTTGAAGCGAAAGGGTTAATTTAAGCCGCGAATGAAGTAAATACATTCATTATTAACAAAGTTATAAGCAGCTGAAATGAAATGATTTGAGTTTGAGTGAAATGAATGAGTTTTCGTTAGGATAGGATTTTTAAAATTTTGTAAGGTGTACTGGAAAATTGATTTTCATTACTTAAGATTCGATTCATCTAAAATTATCAAAAGAACTTAATTAAAGAGGAAACTTGAATCTTTAATTTAAGCTGCGAACAAAGTGAATCCGTTCTTTATTAATGAAGTTGTAAACGATCGAAGTTGAACAATATTTTTCACGATGATCCATTTTTAATAATGGGACATTCAAGATTAATTTTCACTTATTAATAATGGATTTAGGTAAAATTACGAGGGGAGTTGAATTAAATTAGAGGCTTCAAGCTTGAATTTAGGCCCCGAACGAAGTAAATCGATTTATTATTAACGAAGATAAAAAATGACTAAATAGGAATGGAAGGCAATTTATTATTCGTTTACTATCTACATACAGTGTCTTCTAATATTCTTATTTACAATGTCTCGTATTCAACTAAAAATCGAATTAAGCTCCCGTCACAAAAACTTTATTTCTGCTTATAAAGAGGCAGAGACTTTCTGTTCCATTTCGCGCAGCATGTTGTGCAGCCTCGTTTTCAGTTTATCCGCCACCGCGGCTCTCGACAAATGTTCAAGGTCCCCTGAAGGGTTAGCGCACTGCCTTAAAAGCACTGCTAGGCTGCTGGTAGTGTGCTCCGACATTAGCAGTCCCGGAATTATTATCGTCCCCGATAGGGTCCATCCTAAGAATATCTTCTCACAGATCACCTGCAATTTTTATATTCATTCAGGGGTACAAGGATTATCTGAGAATCTTTTCAAATAATTTCAATTCTCAAAAAGAATTGTTTCGATTCGAATCGAATCCAATGTTACGAGCGTCGATTACCTGAAGATTATTATTAGTCACAGGACCATTGCACTTTTTCTCCTTCGAACAAAACGATCTGCAATCGAAATAGTCGCAATCCCCATGATCTTGGCAGTCCCTCCCATCTCCAATAACTTTACTAATGACCGTCCTAGGAAAGACGGCGTCCAGATCTAAGAATTTCAGCTTCTGCCCTCCCAGAGGAAGTCCGAAGTGATTGATCTTCACGTCGCAGAGATGAATCGGTTCGGGAAAGTTTGAGTCGAACTCCTCCAATAGATCCATGATCATCACCGCCAGTTTCAATCGTTTTGCCCATTCTGGCTTCGAGTCTGAAAGGGCTAGGACGGTCGTGGGGGTTTCGATCGGGCGGACGTATTCGACCGCATAAAAAGTGCCGCAGGTGCCGATCATCTGCGGGAATATATCTCTGTCCTCGTAAACGATGGTCATCAGATATTCGTTCTGTTGCAGCAATGGCCACAGGTTCTCCATCTCTAGTTGGCGTCGGCTAGGCTCGGTCTCTATCCTGTGCGTCCGCAGCCGAGCCAGCCTCTCCAGCTGCAACGGGGACACCGTCGTGTTCAGCTTATCAGCTATCAGTACCTTGATCATGCGAGCGAAGTCCGGCTCCGATGGGTAGCGGCGGTTACCGGAGGAGTCCGTCCAGAAGAGCGACTCGTACTGATTCGAGGGAGTCCTCGTTCTACGATTCCCGAAAATACAAATGTTCACGGGTTTGTAAAATTTTACATACTAACGATAGTTTAATGAGCGGGAGCAAGGATTGAAACTGGGAATTTAGTGAGAGAGTTTTATTAAATCGATCGAAAGGATTACATTAAAAGTGTTTGTCTTTGTAAAATTGTATATAAGATAACAAGAATTTACTGAAAAGAGAGAGGATGAGTTGAAACTGGGGATTGAATGATTTTATTAAGTCGATCGAAAGGCATTGAGTTTTGACTCGCGATTTGTATGAGGTTGATTTACCTGGAAGCCTTGAAGACCAGACGAGTGGTCTCCCAATGAGCCGAGAAGACAGCCTCCTTGCCGGCGTGAAGGGTCTCGCAGGCTAGAGAGTGGATACCTCTTTCCGAGCACAGGGGGTCGCAGAGGATTCCAATGGCACCACCCTTCCTGTGCGCGCTGCACTGCAATCGAAATTCTTATCACCGAACTAAACCAATCTTAATCAGGTTTCAAGGTGGATGAGAACTCGGGAATTCCTAATACAGAGTTAAATTCAAGCTTCGACTATTCGCTTTAAGTTACTCCTCTGATATGAATCCAATATTAACAAGTGAAAATCAATCTTGAATCCAATAACACAGATTGTATTCGAACGAAGAATATTATTCAGCTTGAATCGTTCATAATTTTGTTAATAATTAATGGATTCGCTTGGTTCTCGGCTTAAATTAAAGCTTGAACTTTCTACTTTTTATTACCTCATCAGACAATTTTAGCTAAATCAACTTCTAAGGGATGAAAATCGACCTAGAATCAAACCTTGTCCAATTATAAAAATTGTATCATTGTGAAAAATATTCTTCAATTTCGATCGTTGATACCTTCGTTAATCATGGCCGAATTCACTTCATTTGCAGCTCAAATTAAAGCTTGAATTCTCTACTTTAACCGAGTCCTTCTGGCGAATCCTAATAAACCGACTCCTAAGGGTGAGCATCAAAATTGAATCGAACCTCGTCTAATTATATAAATTGTACCGAATACCCCAGTTCGCGAACCGAAGGCGCTTGCGTTTGCTGCCTCTCCTCCCCCCCTCGATTTCCATCCCCTTTTCCAGCAGCTAACAGCTGCTGCTGCTGCTGCTGCTCGTACTTGTATACGATTCACAACCGTTCGTAGCTGGAAAAGAGAGAGGGAGAGTGAGAGAGTGATAATTTCGTCAGTGTCCGAGGAATCCTCACAGGAACGCCATCGATACGACGACGGGTAAACGGTTCTACGTTTCACAATTCTTAAATAATACGTCCGTTTCGTCGAGAATCGCGCGACGGCGATGTCTCGACAAAGATTTTATCGAGCGTGCAGCGTGCCGCGACAGACAGGAATTTCACGCCGCCGGTCAATCGTCGTCTTACAGCGTAGCAAACAAAAAACGACTTTCAAACAGTCTGATAATATTTATTCAACGATTCACTGATCCACGGGGTTCAGATTCAATCACACGTTCACGTTCAATCAATTGAATCGGACACAAGAGTAATTTTAATTCCTCTGATCGTATAAATAAATAAACGAGTGCGGATCCATTATGATTAATTAAAAGGATTGTGAGTTGAGAGTTTGAAGGGAATTCTGTTGTTTCCAGCGGAGGGCGACTCACCACGTTGGACACGTGCCTCCAGGCCTCTAAGTTGGTGCAGACGATGCCCCAGTGAAGGAGAAGGTAGACCAGGAGGAGCATGGCCAAGAATACGAAGACAGTCGCCGCCTTGTAATTGTAGATGAAACCGGGCAAACGTCGCACGTTCATGATCAGATTCGCCAGCCGGTGCCTCCTCCTCCTCCTCCTCCACCAGCAGTAAGTACACTTTCAAATGTCCAGCGATCTCTTAACACTCATCTTCCAACCAGTCTTATCGGTTCCTGTTTTCATCAATTAATTCATTTAACACCGTACACAAATATTTTCCTGTTCGAGTTCCAACAGCTATTTCATCAGCGAAATGTTAATTTCTTTAATTACTTATTTCCGTCGAGAATCGAAGATACGCAGCTTTATATCGTTCAACGTTTGGCAGTGAAAAAGTTCTGTTTTTAATCTCCTAAGGGAAAAACATTGTTTAGCTACAATCATTCGTTATTTCGTTAATAATGAACGGATTCACTTTGTTCGTGGCTTAAATTCGAGCTTGGATTCTATACTTGACTCAAATTTCTCCAACAGCTTTATCTAATTCGATTTTTAAGGGGTGAAAATCGAGCTCGAATCAAACCTTCCCCAACTCTAAAGATTCTATCATCCAATTCACGGATCTTCGAATTTTAATTAATTTTGATGCAAGTTTTACTGCGGATGGTTTAAGGGTGAATGAATCCACACATTTAGCACTTGCTGCCTGTGAGATAGGAGTGGTCACTTGTCACTGTCCCCTCGTAGTCTCTCCTTCAATTTCACGCGTGTGTCTGTGACTTGAAGCTTCCGCAATGTACGTTACAAAATCGACGACCAGCGGTGATCGAAGAGGCTTTTCGGACGACGCTGATGCCGGTTCGTGCACTGGCAATGCGGCATAATCTCTCCGCTGCGGCACCCTCTCACACCCTCGCGAGAGGAGGGTGGAAACGCGCAGACTCTATTTCAAATCTCTGTCCGCTCGATTCGACCCGCCCGTTCGGAATCAATTCAAAACAGTTCAACAAATTCTAAATTCACGTGGTTCATGCAAAAGGAGAAGAATTCCGAAGAATGAAAAGCGATTTGAAGAAAGAAGGGCGTCAGTTAAATAACGAACACACGTAATAAAATGAGAATTTCTATAATAAGAAGCTGCTGCAGTTATTCAATTGATTTAAAATAATCGAATGATTTTTATGGAGCTACCATTGAATGTATTCAAATCTATTATCGACTCACTGTGAGCTGGCAGAAGAAGCGGGCGCTGGGACGCTCACCCACGCGACTGTTCCATAATAACTGCTCCATCCTTTTTTGCTGGCTCATCGAGCCAAGCTTCCAACGTGCACACGCAACGCAACAGTCGAGCTTTTAAATTAGACCGAACGGGGCCGGTACTGCCACAGTTCAACGCTGCGACGCACCTAAATTTTATTAATTGTACCATTCATTTTCATACATCATAATATAACGTGCGAATATTATTCTTTTTTGCGCTGAATCGAACGTGTCAAAAATTCTGTAAAAAAAAAAGAGAAGCGCTGTTAGCAGAGTAGTAAACGTGAGAATTTTTCCATATCGATCCGTCGACGATTTATATTTAAAAAAAGATGCATACATTTTGCAAGTACTGAGATGGTACCCCATCGTTCAACTTTAATCGTTCCTAATTTTGTTAACAATGGACTGATTTACTCCGTTCAAGGGACAAGTTAAAGCCTAAAGTTTTCACTCTAATTCAGTTCCTTTGGCAGATTTTGATAAAACAATTCCTAAGGGATAAAAATTAAATTTGAGTTGAACCTCGTTGAATTCTAAAAATGATAGTGAAAATCATTGTTCAACTTCAGTTGTTGACAGCTTCGTTAATAATGAAATAATTTACCTCGTTCATGGCTTATATTAAAGCTTGGAACCTCTACTTTACACGAATTCATCTGACAAATGTCGATAAACTGATTTCTAACAGGTAAAGATTTGAATGAAACATCGTTCAATTTCTATCTCCATCTCTCTCTCTCTCTCTGGTTCTCTCTTCCTTTGTTTTTGTCACGATTCAAGCGCTCTCGTTGCAGGTAGAAGGAAAACGTCAGTAGAGTTTCGAAATCGCGCGGGCTCGCTCGCTCGCACCTGAAGAAGAGGCGAGGTGACTCTCCTCCGTTGGCCGTCGCGCAGCTGCGACCTTCGAGCGCCCTTGCGGCCGTCCCCTCGACCTCCTCGTCGTCCTCATTTTTACTCCGAGCCTCGGCGCAGTTCCCGAGAACAGCCCATGCGTCCGCGACACCGTCCGAAATCGGACTAATTATGAGAAACGTCGAATCTAAAGTGATTGGGATTAAACAAGAAACGAAAGATCGCGCGGCTCGATTAATTAAAATGAAACAGTGACGGGTTCAATAGAATTTTATATACAGCCGCGGTCGAATCGGTGGTTCATTTTTAACTGTGACCAAGATATTAGGATATTAATGGTACTGGAAGAAACATTGGCTGAAAGTGGATTTGGTTTTTCGTTCTCGCATTCCTTCTGGGTGGACATGTTAGTTCTAGGGGTTGTTCACCCCTGATCGAGCGTAAGGATCACGAGTTCGGTGAGTCAGGCCTCAAGTTTAGAATCTCGGCAATCTATTTGATTAATCTCTTTCGACACGTTGAAAACCGATTTTCAATTAGATTTTATTCAAGGGAACAAATTCATACAGTCGTAGACGTACGTTTATTAATGGAGGACTCACACCAGCGTCGATCGCTAATAGGCAGAATTAGGATGATCAGCTAATTCCTAACGGGTGAATCGTAAATCATTGTTGAACTTTGATAGCCGATAACATCATAAATAATAAACCAATTTATTTTATTCGCGACTCAAATGAAAGCTTGAACTCTCTATTTTAATTTAGTTCATCTAAGAGTTTTACCTAAATCGATTTCTAAGGGAAGAAGATTGACTCTGAATCACACCTTGTCCAATTCGAAAGATTCTATTTTAATGAAATATGATGTTCAACTTCAATTGTTCATAGTTTTGTTAAGAATGAACCGATTTATTTCGTTGGCGGCTCAAATTAAAGCTTGACGCTTCTACTTTATATTATCTCCTCTGGGAATTTTGTATAAATCGACGCCTAAAGGGCGAAAATTATTGATAAACGAAGACATGATTAAACTCTAATGAAAAATATTGTCAAATTTCGATTGTTAATAATTTCGTTAATATTAGATCGATTCATTTCGTTCGTAGAGTAAATTGAAGGTTCATGTCTGTGCTTTACTTCAGTTCCTTTGACAAATTTTGATAAAACAGTTCCTACGGGGTGAAAATTACATTTGAATTAAACCTTGTCGAATTCTAAAAATGATATTGCATTGAAACTCATTGTTCAACTTCAATTGTTAATAACTTCGTTAATAATGAATTAATTTACTTGGTTCGCGGCTTAAATTAAACCTTGAATTTCCTATTTTAATTCAATTTATCTAAGAATTTCCAGTAAATGAATTATTAATATTATAAAATAAGTGCGACCGATTCATGTGGCAACAATTGAAACGACGAGGATGATCGTTGTGCAACGATCATTCAGATAATAACACAGATACGCGAAATTACGTATATACATGTACACATATATACCGTTAGTCTCTCTTTAGCCGTATCACGTGCGCCGCTGTTGCGCTACCGTGTATTTATAGTAGCTTGCAAAAACAAAACCGCGATCTTTCTCATTTCAATCTTCGTTTCATTTTTATCAGGCAACATACGCGATCTTCTCCGTATCAATTTTTCTCCCGTACCGTGATTTTAATTAGCAGACAGCTTATGCAAAATAAAACACTCACAGTATCAATGTAAGAGATATGCGTTTCAGCTGAACATCATTTATTTTACCGTTTAAACATTGAAATATCCATTCAGCTTTCAACATTCTCAACTGTTTTACAGATTACACGCGACGTTTATCATCTTCGCAGATTCAGTTCTATTATAAATGCATAAAATTCGCTGTCTAGTAATTGCAACTGCGACACGAGCGTGTGGTATCGTTAATTATAGGATCCTTAATACAGGGATGCAGTCCGTTCAATTTGATCGGCAAAGTGAAATCTAATTTCTACGATTCTGTTTGATTGCTGGAAGCCTCGGTGAGCCTGTCGCAGTTTGCCTGGACATTCGAGAAAGCTTCTGTAATGCGATCTCCGGCTGTGTAACACACTCTTATACATACCGCGCGTAACGCGACACCCGATCGCCGG